TTGTTACTCTCATGATTGTGCTTTGCTTTTCAATAAACACACTAAATGCTGTTCTGCACTGAACCTGTAACTCAGGTGCTGCATCGTCATGTTACTGGGACTACAAGCAAATAAAAAACGGCTTCTTTAAACTTGTTCCTGCATTTATTCATCACAACGGGAAGACCATAGCACCATGGTGAGGTCAAACTCTCATCAGCTATCACTTGCATCCTGGAGCCCATGGCAAGAAAAAAAAAGAACATACAATGTCACATAACTTGGGCAGCTATAAACCTCTACAAACTGTAGAAAAACAATTCTTGACACAAGAACATTCTTGAAGACAACTAGTTTAAGGCACAAGGTCTAATCACATCTGTTAATATATACCTGCCGTGTTTCTTCAGTTAATTGCCAGGTTGTGCGTTATAGTTTTGCTTTGGAATCCAGCCGTCCTTTACTTTATGCCTGCCCTCTTGTTCTTATCTGACTTTATGTTTTTCTGCTTGTCTGCCTGTCCCTCTTCTTCTGTTTGCCTGTTGGGACTGACTTCCCGGAACAAACCTTATTTTAGATACTCTTTGAAAACAACAAACTTTGGACTAACTCAGTCTTCTTGTCCTTCGGTCACGTTTTAATCTGTGAAGTTGAGCCTTTACAGGAATAAGTGTTGAAGACAGGTCAACTCAACTTATAAATTCCATGACCCATATTCAGGTAAAAACATGAGAGAAGATTACAGATCAGATAGTGATGGCAGCTGCCAGGTGGAGAGTGTCACCACTGTGATGAATAGATTCATGAGGACCAGAGCCACCAATGGGTGCTGACAAATCCCGTGTAAGAGGATCAGTAAGGTGAATGTTGAAATCATCACTGATCAAATAAGATTGGAGTTACTTACTATTGTGTGGATTGTTGTAGAGAGATAAAAATACATAATCAGCTTCTGGAAGGAAGAGATGACTTGCAGACATTTGTCAATACGATGTAGATGCTTGTTAACTGTGTTTTTGTGCTTATTGTTACTATATAATCAATTTTGGTTATTATAGTCTAAAACTAAATGAAAACTAAATGGAGGAGTAAACAAACTATTTAGTTAACTCAAATGACAATGAAAAGTAGACTTCAAAAACAAATAAAAAATCAGTTATTTTGTTAGATAACATCTAATTTCTTTATAGTGTTTTTTAATTTATCCACTTGGCTTCATCAGTGTGAGTCAAATGTCATTTTAAAGGACTGTCCTTGTATTGTACTACCTGTTAGAAACATCTTTCAATCACAAACAAATAACCAGGCATATTATAGAATAAACTAAAGTGAATGCTGAAAGTGATAAGAACTCAAATAAAACTTTTACACAACAGAAGTTAAACTAAAATGAGAAAACACACTCTGGAAACTAACTGTAACTAAAATGAATGAATAAAAGACAGAAATAAAAATAAAGGCTGATGAAAAGTACAAAACTATAATATCTCTGCACAGCATGGGGTTTATATTTGAAAGATTACAAACAAACCAAATCAAATGGGAGCCATAATCCCAGATAATCCTATAGAAACCTCTGCCTCTGCATCAGCCAGTCAGTCATCTGGCTAGCTAGCAGCTCACACAGTTCATCCAGTCCGTCAGGCAGCCATCCAGCACAGCTGCACTTCACTTCCACTGATTCGTTCATATTCTATATAGAATAAAAACAACAGGCCTTAACAGTTTGCACTCGTACATTTTAATTCTATAAAGAGGCATACTTTCATTTGGACATGATAGTAGCAAAATCTTTAGACCCAACTTTGGCCAGCTACTTGTTCCAGTGAGGTATGTGGTCAGGAAGTCTGGACTCAAATCACAAGTGCATGCAGCATCTTTAAGGTTTTTCTTGGGCAACTTTTAGTTCATCTTTACCATCCACACAAATGTTTTGGATGTAGGAGCAACAATTAAAGTAAAAAAGCAAACAAGCATAGGCAGTCTTTGCACAAAAACATGCACAAAATGTCACCTTAACCTTGTAGAAACCAATGATGTAATAACAGCCGATAACGTAATAAATTTGCCATTTTTAAACTGCAATAAGCCAAAAACATAATAACTGGCCAATAATGTAATAAAAGTCCTTACATTATTGGCCAAAAGATGTTACGTTATCTGTTCAGGACTTTTATTGGATTGTTGGTCAGTTATTACGTTATCGGCCGTTATTGCAGTATTGGTGTCTCCAGGTCTGCTAACCTCAGAACCATTTACTTGATGCAACTTTTAGCACTACTTTCACTGTTACATTTGTGACTGCTGTTGCATAACACCTAGTTGTCTCTTTGCACTTTATTTGCATTTCACCCAAATTGTGTTTAACTCTCACAATAATAAACTGCACATACTATACAGTAAATACACTGGTTCTATTCATACTGTACATTTCATAGTTACAATAATTTTACATCAAAGCTGCGTTCAGTCTTTACATTTTTCATATTGATTCATTCTTTATTTTGAACCTACCACAGTTAAATCCCTTTCTACAGTCCTGCCCTTCTCTATTTCTGTTGTCAGACAACGGACACATATTAAGTAGTGACTAAAACACAGCCCGTTAACACTGTATGCTAACCTCACCAAACACTAAAATGAAAAACAACAGCTGTGTTGTAAACTCTGAGATATTTCTTCGTAAAATTATTGGAACCGATAAAAGGTTATTGTCTCCTGGTGTTGGCAGTCACGCAGTCAGCTATTTTTCTCAATGCTGTCAATCAAACTCGTAGAGAGAGTTTTCTTCCTGAAGGAGGTGGAAACAGTAGCAGCTCATTGGTTTTCAAAGTGAAACAGCATATGTAGAACATCTTCAGAACCATCTTGGTTTTCAGTATTTTGAGCTGAACTACTGAAAGCTGCACTGTGAGAACATGTGAGACTTGCATTAATTTGTTGAAAAGAGGCACAATATTGGACCTTTAACACGTTCAGTTTGACCTTTGCATCTTCAGAAGGATGCAGCCTCTGACTTTATTGATCCCAGGAAGGGAAGTTGCTTTTTTGCATATCTCAGCTTGTTCAGAGCTGGGGTCAGAGCACAAGGTTAACCGCAATAAGGCGCAGACAGGGTTAAAAGGCCAAACAGTGGCAGCTTGGCAGTGCTGGGGCTTGAACCTTTCACCAACTGATGACATTCTGAATACTGTGCACACAGGTATGCTCAGATATATTCAGCCTGACTAAAGCACCAGGAGGACCAGTATGCTTTCAAGTAAAGTGAAACTGAATCTTTGTCCAACGAGCTTCAGTGGAATTCACCTGGACTGCTCTTTGCGCTTCATGAGGATGTTTCACTTTCATCCATGAGGCTTCTTCAGATTGACGTGACTGATGGGGACTTTCAGAGTGTTATAGTCACCCCAGCTCACATGTCTAAAGGCCCATTAACGAGCAGGACTCATGTGACTCAAACTGGGAATTGCTGGTCCAACCACAGGGCCAGCAATCATGGTGGTGGAGCTGCCAGTTTACACAACAAAGGGTATGAGTCTGCCATGTCAGGACTGACTCAAGGAGCCACGTGAGCTAGAGTGACTATAAAACTCCCCATTAGTCAGATAGAACTGAAGAAGCTTCTTGGGTGAAAGTGAAACGTCTTCAAGAACCTTAAAGAGAAGTCCAGGTAGTTTCTACTGAAGTTCCAAGGATTAGCATGACCAGAGGGGTATACTACTATGCAAGTTTGACATAGCCGGGCTTTCTTTGTATAAGCCGGCTTGACAAAAATAAAAGCCCCAGTCAGAGATCACGAAGGTGGTTTTCAACTTTCTTTGTCAGCTCAGACTTTCTGCTTCAGACTCTGTTCACATAAAAACGGGTGTTTAAAGCGTCACGTGACTCTTAATTCTGTACAAAATGAAACGATCGTGTGCAGCCGCTTCTGTCACTGCGTTGATTTAATGGAGAACACTGAGGAATACAAAAAAAACTACTATGCATTTATGTCTGACACTGTCCCATAATGCAGGTTATCACTTTAATTAGTGGCCAAATCAAAGCAAAATTAATGTTATTGATTGAATACATACATATGAGGAGAATAATCCGTTTTCTGATCTGTGTTCTATCAGCTGCAGTACCAGCAGTGTAAACACACTTGACAGCAAATCAGAGCCAAACATAAAAACATATTTTTGTGATTTTTGCATCACCAACTTAGTACATGTTGGGTTTCCATGGCAACGTGATATTTACAGTCTGTAATACTGTAACTATACAGCTTTGTTCAGTGACATTAATGACACACAACTCAGCATGTTTGCAGATTAAATATAGTCCTTCAACTGAGAATCTGTTTTGCGCATAAATAGTTGTCAGGAAACGATTTGGTTCCAGTTGATTTAACTCTGAACATAACCTGCTCCCGACCAGGTTAGTTCCACAGCATCAGTTACCATGGAGATCTAGCTCCACAGCATCAGTTACCATGCAGATCTGGCACCACAGCATCAGTTACCATGGAGATCTAGCTCCACAGCATCAGTTACTATGGAGATCTAGCCAGGTAAAAAGAGAGCCACCGTCCTGGCACTGAAAATTCTGCCTTTAAACTCAACCCACTAATCTCGCTTCGTCGTACAGCCCTCTGGATGACTGAGAATGTGCACAGATAAACACAATAAATATTTACATTTGATATATTTTTGTGTTATTTTCTCTGAATTTGTAATGTTTCTGCCTTTCAGTATCTTGGACATGTGCGTTTTCACCGTAGATCGTGTAGATTTACCGCGACGTGCTTTTACAAGCCAATAAATAAACAAGACACGTTCCTATTTACGGCGGTACGTGAAGGCAGCAGCAGCAGCAGCAGCTCCTGCAGATTCACAAGTCTCCTCTTTTTCATTTCCGCCGGCTCCTGATTGGCTGAGGCGGTTGGGGAAAAGGGGCGTGGCCTTCCGTCTGAGTCCTGGCACCAGTCTGCTCTGCTCGCAGCGAAAAGGTGGAGAGATTTTTGCCCATCACACACTCTGTCTGACTGTCACACACTCGGCAAGAGAGAACCGGGACGCATCCAAACGGTGAGCTTTTTGTCGATGTCGTTGCCATCGCGTCGTCGTCGTTGTTGTTGTTGTTGTTGTTTTTCCTCCCGCATCCCTCTCGCTGCGCCATCCTCCGTATAAATGAATGATGACATTGGAGGCATATTTGTAATTCAGGGGCTCTCTTGACTTGTCTCTGCAGGATACGGGCCTATATTTAGATTATCGTATGGAGACGTGGCTCCCATCACAATGGCAGGAGGGATAGTGGGCGTGTGAGGAGGAGAGAGTGGGGTGGTGATGGGTGGGAGGTGTGGGGGGGGGATTCTGTGTCTCATGCAGAGGTCCGTGGATTCGTGTCTCTTTGTTATGGTGGTGCCGCAGTCGGGATGGTACACCCCTGCTGCTGGAAAACCACCAGGCTGTCCACAAAGACTCCTGCATCGCCTCAGAGTGGCTCCTCAGTGATCAGCCACGAGTGGAAACTGTAGTGACCTTATTGCATGCAGCGTTTGTCTAGACTTCACCTCTATTATTATAATATCCCTGCATGGGACTACAGCCATCCGTAGATGATGATGCACAGATAGTATGTCAAAGTCAAGGCCTGGTTATGTAAAAGATGTTATTTCTTCTTCTCTATCTTCTGATGTTACACCAGTTTAGTGAAGAGTCTGTGATGCTCTATAGAGACTAAGCCTGCCGTTATACAATAATACCCCCCTTTTCCCCTCCCTCCCCACTCTACACACTCACATACACACTGCATCCTCTGTCTCACTGTGGATTAGTACACATTGTTCCATCTATGCTCATATTTTTACCCACTCTGGTCGATCCCGTCTTCGATTTTCGCTCTGTTTCATACGTGAGAGTCGACATTTGGTGGTTGATGTTAAAAAAAAAAAAAAAAAGCACTCATTAATAATTAGGCCACAGCACACACACTCACACACACACACTACTATGGGAGAATGAGCATCTTAATTCTGCGCTTAAAGCAAAAAGTGGCAGTGAAGTTCCAGTCAGCACCGTAGTGTCTGCTCTGGATGTGATTGTTTGCTAAAGAAAAGCTACATGATGCAACGCTGAGTAAAATCTTTGAAGCTCAGACACGTGGCTGCACCATTACGTAAAGTGGGCATATTCTGGAGTCCTGTGTCTCGTCTTATACACGGCGTATACGTCGGTCTGATGAGCTTTGTGTCCATGGAAATGCTCGGGTTTGGACAAGAATGTGAACTAGTGTGTTTATTTGTGGTCCAGCATGTCACACTTGTAGTTCATCATCGTGCTTAATCATTTGTTTATTCTCAGGGCTGGCATAGGTGCGAATTTCCCTAATTTGCCTACGCGACCAGCTATTTTTTTCAGTAAAACCTTTGTTCTCTAAATTGTAAAAAAACATCCTTCTTAACTCCGATGTGACTTCTTTAAATGTATTATTTTGTCTGCACAACACTGATTTCCAAACGTTTGAAAAGCTAAAATGACAGCACTAATTATATAATTACTCACATAAAATTCTACATTTTAAGCCCATTTCTACTTATTACAAGCTAAAATTACAGGTAACAGTGATAGAGGCTCTTATTGTTCTGCATTATTATGTTAAACATTGTGTGAACAGAATTTTTTGTTATATTTTTAATCTCATTTTTATACATTTTCTTTGTTTTTAGGGAAGTAGGGTTAGATTTCAGGTGGATGGGGGAACTGATTGGCCATTAGTGTTTATGCATGTGGAAAGAAAATGGCTGCTGAGTAAGTAGCTCATATGCTGTTTCTGTGTAGACTGCCCTCCAGCTATCTTAATCAGAGACTACCGTAGGTTTTGATTGGGATTTTGATGATTGTATTTCTGCTTTGAAGGTCACGCCATGTCTTTTTCTGGCAATAAAGAACACAACACAACTAACAGATCTGTTCCAGCTGAATTGAAATGAACAGTAATGGTATATGCCTGATATTTATATATACATTAAGGATGGTCATCACTGAAAAAAAAAACACCAGTAATGGACCAATAGTCTCAATTTCCAGTCATATTTATTGGATATTTGATCAGATATATTACAATTGAGGATGCACAGTGATATCAGCATCATCAGATACCACGTGTCAGACTAAAAGTTTATAGTTTCATTTCATAAATGTTAAATGACATGTAAGTTGCAGTGTTTTTCTTAGTTTACCTTGTGATTGTGTACACGTTAAAAGACCTGGTTTTTATGTCTGCACCTGCTATCCATATCAGCAATCAGCAAAAATGTGTTGGAAAATGTCGGCATCTTGGATATCCGGTGTGGTGCATCCCTTGTTTCAATTTGTTCACTGAGCACTACCCCGGGCTTTTATTTTGGGTCATAAAGCTGAGTCTGCAAAATGTCTGGGACAAATCGTCTGGGACAGTTTCGGTTGCTGCTGTCACAGCCTGAATATGAACCATGCGGTTTGATGGTCAGGGCCAAATAAGCCCAGGACACTGCTCTTACTTGTTTGACCATAGTTTAGGGCTAAATAATTCAGCTAAGTCACTATAAGAACTTAGCACTCAAAAAACCTTGTAAACTGTGCAGCAAAAATCCAAATACATCAAAGCTAATGTTAATTAAAGTTTGCTGGTGTTGCAATGGGACAGTGTTGAGTTGATCAGGATGTCATGGGTTGAAGTTCATGCTGTATATTTGGTCTTGGAGGGAACATTTTATTTTTCCAGTCTCTGATTTAATGTGAAAAGCCTTTACATGTCCATTTAAGGGACAATGACATGGTGAAGTTAAAAACATTGGTTCACAAGTCTCTGAATACCTGAGACTAGTAGACGACAGACCTGCTGGCCATTTTATTTCAATGAATTATTGCACAGCTGCTTTAGAAAATATCCAGACCCATTTGCTTTATTGTGTTATAAATTCTGTTTTATACTTGGCATTTTAGCCCTTCAATGTACACTCAGTAATGACAAAGTGAGAACATGTTGCATTTGTAAAAGCAAAGAATCTTTGCTGTGGATCCAAATTGTAGTCAGGTGCATACTGTTAGCTTAGATTTGACTGGAATCCACCAGTGGCAAACTGAATAGGTTGGATATAGTTTAAAAAGGCACGTACCTGTGTGTATACAGTGTGACCATAACACTGCATGTCAGGACTAAAACCAAGCCATCAAATCCAAGCGTTGACAAGGGTGAGAGTATAACTCCATTTCTATAGCTGTGAGTGTTCCCAGGAGCACAGCGGCCTCAATACCAGTGAAATGGAAGAAGTTTGAAATAAGCATTCCATCGAGTTAGTTGTCAAACCAATCTGTGACCAAGGATCCAACAGTCACTCTAACAGAGCATCAAAAGTCCTCTGCAGAGATGGAGAACCTGCTGAAAAAAAACAACCGTCCGAGCAGAACACCATCAGTCAGGCCTTTAGGGTAAAGTGATTTGACATAAGCTACTCTGAATGAAAGGCAAATGACAGCATGCTTGGAGTTATTCAAACTGCATTCAAAGGACTGTGAGAGCATGAGCAAAAGATTTTTGTGCAGAACTCCAAATGTAATGTCCAGTGAGCACCAGACATTGTTCATCATCTTCTAATTTGATCTCTAGAGTGAAGCATGGTGGTGGCAGCATCATGCCATGGGGCTGCTTCTCAGTGCACTGTGTTGCAGATACACCGACTTCACAAAATGTTTTTTGATTTTTTTTTTTTTTTCTTACAATTTTCAGCATTTTCCTTTAGGGCTTGCGATGACAAAATATGAACTAGGGTAGGGTAGTAAGCTGCTTAGCGATGACTTTAGTGAATCCAATGCTATATACATTCAGAGTATGAGGGGTGATGTGTTTTTATAAGCACAAGTAAAGCAATGCTCAGCTAATATTTTTAGGTATTGCCAGAATATTTAATGATCTGTGAAACTGTAAAATAATCACCCCTTAATGAATAGTCCATTGGTGTCAAGTTACTACCTGCTGTGTTAATTGCTACCTGCTGTGTTAACTGTAGATTCGAGTATGTACCTCTGAGTGCAATCCCTTTCCCTGTACAGATTTAGCTGCAATTCTTCTTGAGCAGCATACTGTTATGTTATATTGTATATTGAAAGGATGAAGAAGAGGATATTTTACCTTGCAAGTGCAGTAGGAAATGGGTAAAAAGACACCTGGATCAGAAAATGCACAAACTGCATCTATGAGATTCCGATATGCAAAATAGAATGCACATAGAATAGATTTGCTTTTGTTTTTCAACAACATGACAAGCAGAGAATTAGAAATGTGCAAGATGACAATTTTATGTCCAACAGTCCTAACTTGGCATATCATGTGGTTTTCAGAAGACGTGTACAGATCGTGTCATTCAGTGTGTTATATTCTGTATTCTTGTTAAAGGTGCAGTCGCTGTTAGAACAGCGAGCTCCAGCCCATTCTATCTTGAGTTTCCCTACCTACAGGCCGGCCAGGTCACAGTTGTGACAGTCCTTAGTGTCATTCAGCTGCTGCTTTAGAGAGTCTCTTGCTTGTCTCTTGAACTTCAACTCTACCATCAATGAACTGCAGTTGCCAAAAGAAGTCCTCGTTCTGCTCTCCAGGAGACCCACTGAGAGCTGAAGGACCATTTCACCCTGAACCTGCAACAAGTGGCAAACTGGTTCAAGTGCCACTTTGCCAAGTTTAATTAGAAGATAGGACAGTCAACTACCATTGCCAAGTTCTTTCCAAGACAGTGGAGTGGAAGTCCATTTGCAGGATAGTAGAGTCACTGGTGAAGCAGCTGAATGACATTGAGCACCACAACAACAGCGACCTGGTAACTGACTTTGTTAACAGAAGACAGCAATGCAGATGAAGAACAGTAGAAAGCAGACCACCATCATGAGCAAAGTGTCGAAATGGTCAACATACGAACCGCTTTCAGTCAAAACTTGCAGATCACGAGACTTGTGATTCACATTGTGGCTTGTGGAATAAAGTGTGATTTGACCTTTAAACCAGATATCCCATACTTAAGAACAAGAATTTAAAATTATTTTATAATACT